GAGTGAAGACATAGTCCAGAGAGGTGTAAAGCCACAGGTATGGGCTAACTGCTGGATGAGTGTGCTCTATGGTCATCTCTTTAACCTTCTTGCATGAGGCCTGTTGTGCAGATTTGAAAACGTTGCATTCAGAAAGGTGATGGCTTTTTTCCTATATTATGGGGTATAATTTCCTATTCCTAGGAGGCTAGAAATATTTTCTTTTTCTTTCTCAACTTTCTCCTTAGCTGTTTCCCAAAGCAGGCTTATCTCCCACTTGAACTAGCTGTTGCCTAGTCGCGCGCGCGTGCGTGCGTGTGTGTGTGTGTTTGTACACACAGCAGCTACTCGGCTAACTTTCTTTCCCCATTCCAGTTCAAACTGGAAGACCCTGAGTAAACCAGAATAAGGATGAGGACAGAACTTAGTGGATTCCACACAAATACTACCCACCTGGAATCAGAATTTGTTCAACATACTGATTTTTTAATCACCACTGGAGCTGAAATAAAGTTTAAAGTTACGTAGTATATTGTTACAAACTAAGAATTACACTAAATTCCAGAACCAATTTGGGATCAGAAAATACGACCTGGTTTGAAGGGTGGTCACAATTTGACAGGACAGTTTTATTAGGTCAGGGTTAGTTTCAGAAACTCCAAGGGAGGCTTTGAGTTTATACTTTTGCCAACAAAACTAAGCACAGAAGAGGATCTTTCTGCTAGTCATTATCTTTGACACTGATTGGGGGAGGAGGCAGTAGAGGAAATGGTAAAGTTTTTAGATTTCAAAAAAGGTGTTCGTTTTCCCCCGTTAGCCTTGTCGTATCCTCTCAGTATACCATAAATGATCATTTTAATATCAAACCAATTTGCATACAACAATGACTAAACTTGGTGCTTTTTGCCTTACAGTGATTATAGATTTGAAATAGAAAAAAAATGTTTTACAACATTTAAACCCCCATCCCGAGGTCAGAAATTTTTTCATTGTCTAGACTTTTATTGGAAACTCATTGGGGCTTTTGTGCAAAAAGGTGATTTTATTAAAGCACAGGGACAGGACCCATGGGCATGAAGAGTTGCCTATCAAAAAACATTTTAAAAAATTAACTGCCACATTTTTACAAAAAGCTCCCACAAAGTGAGATGTCAAGTAGATGATTACATAAATTGGTCAGTATAATTTAAAAAAAAATTTTTTTTTTAATGTTTATCTGTTTTTGAGAGATAGAGCGAGAGCAGGGGAGGGGCAGAGAGAGAGGGAGACACAAAATCTGAAGCAGGCTCCAGGCTCTGAGCTGTCAGCACAGAGCTGGACAAGGGGCTCGAACCCATGAACTGTGAGATCATAACCTGAGCCAAAGTGAAGTCGGCCACTTAACTGACTGAGCCACCCAGGCTCCCCTTTTATGTTAATTAAAAAAAATATTTTTAAATGTTTATTTTTGGGAGAGAGTGCACACAGGGGAGGGGCAGCGCAGTATATTTTTGCCTATGCAAAGTACTGGATTGGGAGCTCTGGGAGGCTCCCAATTGATCATATTAGAAGTACTCAATTTTTGAAGTGAAATTCAAGCCCATAAAGGTTTTAAGCTAAAAATTCTAAGTGTGGTTGGTTATTTTCAAGTGGTATCAGTTGCTTACTTCTTTTCTACAACCTTTCTATCCTCTAACTACCAGAAGCTTTGGGGGGAAATATCCAGTTCACTTAACTGTCTGAGGTTATGACTTTTTCGTAGATTATTACACTTTTCTCATATACACTGATGGTGATTTTTAATGACATAGGTTCTCTTTTATAATTTGGCAGTAAGCTCTAATTTCCTCTGTGCTCATATAACCAGACTTCACATTTTTGCCCTTCAAAACACATTTAGATTATTGAGCTAGAAGTATAAAATCCCTTCAGTTGTCATTGAACTCCTCCCTGGTTATGTCAGTCAAGATAGACAGCCTGACGTTCGCATGTGCCACCTGGGCCTTTTTGCTCAACTATGCTTTTCTTTGCTCTTTCACTCTTTTGACGAAACGACTGCTGTGATTTCTGGCACTTCTAGTCCAGTTTTTAAACTGTTTATTCCACTCCGATGTTCTAAATGCAGGCTGTGCTGTTCTTTAAAGGGTTTCCCTTATCTGCTGATCAGTTTTAATGATTTTGGTTCTTAATGTTATGGCAGGCTGATTGCCCCTACCCTAACATCATTGGGCTTTGAATTGTTGCCCTTAGAAAAGAAGTAGAGAATATTCAAAGCAAAGAAAACTAAGACCACAAGGGAAAGAAGAGGAAACCTTGAGTGTATAAACTCACAATGAGAGGACACACGGTAAAAAGGGACTGAGGGAAAGTTACCTCTTGTAGCAGACCATTGGTTATAACCGTTCCTGCCATCTCTTTATTTCTAATGCATCCTTTGTGGGAAAAGCTTGAAATGTGTTTCTGAATCAGAAATTTAAAAACAACTTACAGGCAGTTTTCTGTGAATAACTGCTAATTCTTTTTAATTTCCCCTTAACATCTGCATTTTTGTATTTGAATAATTGTTTTTATCATCATTTAACTTTGTAATCCTTTTCTAAAATTGTGACTTATGATTAATTTCTGTGCTTTCTTTTCCCACAAGCATGTTGAATTTTATTATACTGAGATGACTCTTGTGACCTGCCTAAAGAGAAGTGCCCTCCTTCATGTAATAATATTTCCATCTTTTAAGTTCTTAAAGCAGTCTTGCCTTATACATCATAAAATGGATTTTAAAACGTTACTCTAAACTGGTGATTTTCAAGCTTTGGCTTGACAAAAATTACTTAAGGAGGGCACATCTTTACAGTATGCTGAGCAGTGCCTGGCTGCTCAGTAAACTCTTTCACATTAAATGCTCTCTTGTTATGCATGTGATTCTGATTAAAATAGAAATTGAATTAGATAATATTTTTAGTGAATAATAAAAGCATAACAGTAACCAGCGAAATTATCTTAAAATTTGTTGATTTCCTTTTTAAAAGAATCCTTGAACTAAAAAGAACCCAATTTTGGTTGTTGACTGACCTCACAAAGTTACTTGTTGGTCCTGATAGCTTTCTGTAGGAAGAAGCATGTGATCAGCTCCAGTGTGCATAGGAGAAACTAGGACAAACCTAACCAGTAACTTAACCAGTCCCAGCTAGGGTTACTGTCTCCTGCCTGTCCGGCAGTCAGCGCCTGGCAACCCGTGTGCCATGTGCCAGTTGCAGTCTCCTCTCACTGCAGTCTGGGTTGGCTTCCTCCTTTAGCAGGATGGAAGACAGCTCCTGCCGCTTGTGTCTCTACAGGAGCCAGGGTCTCTGACAAAATACAAAAGCAGTTAGCTTCTATTCTAGTTCTAACTTTTGGATGGTTATGTTTGCATGTTCGAACAGAAGACACAGTTCCTTGGTTGGATGCAGATAGGGGTCAGGCACTGTTAGCCAGTCTAGAACATTTAGGCCCATACAGTGACATGTTGCCTTTCATTATTTTTGTTTTTAAGTAACGCTATACGTTTAGGAGTTCATTTGTTTACCTCTTTACAGGCTGAACATAACTTCCTTTTTTCAAAATTCCCTGTGTTGTGAACTGAGCTTGAGTGAAGTGAAATCTTTGAGGTAAGGCAATGCTAATGATAAAAATGGGAAAGAAGGCCTGTGCAGCTTGGGAGCCTTCAGAGACATAGTTTTAGAGTCACTGCCTAAATATTGAAATGCCACCACTTGTTGTCTGGAGGATGGGAAGCTAAATTGAGAACGGGAGCACCACATCTGCCTCGACTGCTAAGTATATCCATTTCCACTGCTCACCCATAATAGAATTTTTATGTGTGCATTTATTAATCTTGGTTTTAACATCAGTTTAAAGGAGGACGGAGAATGAAGAGACTAAGATTGCATTCCTCCGTCCTTCCCTTAACATTTGAGTGTGTGTTCCTGGTGGGTCCCTGTTCTTTTTCATCATCACTCTGATGGTTTTTGGTTTTTTGTTTCTCCGGAAAGGTCAAACAACAGAAAAGACATGATTTCCTAGTACTCTATCAAAGGGCAGAATATTACTATCCCATTTTCATTTTTACTTTTTAAATTTTCTGGCAAAATAAGATTCAGGGTAAAGAAACTTTCCCTGTGCCACCTAATGAGTATCACTGAAGCAGGAATTTTTAAAAAGTCCTTCATTCTGATGAGGAACCATTAGGTAACCACTCTGCTCTCCGCACCATTAAGAAATCAAGGTTGGTCCAGTGCAAGTGGTAGTATGTGAACAGTTTAAGTTTTTGGTGACCAGCTCTTTAGCCAGCTTGCCTCTGGCCTGCTTCCGATGGTCTGAACCACTACTTATGTGACTCTTCTGAGGTTAGTGTGGACCCAGCACTGTGCTCATTGCTGCCTTTGGCACATGGAAAACTAAGTTTAAACCAGGGCCAACAGCCTAGTTTTTCCTTCCAAAACCATTTTCAGACCACATGAGGTGAGCTTTTTTTTTTCTTTCTTCCTTCCTTTCCTTTCTTTTCTTTTCTTTTCTTTTCTTTTCTTTTCTTTTCTTTTCTTTTCTTTTCTTTTCTTTTTTTTTCTTTTTTCTTTTCTTTTTTTGCTTCAGGTAGTTTCAGGCCTTGGGGCCCCTCAAAACCTGATTTGCAGAAAGGAGTTTGAAGATGTGAAACAAGTTAGTGTTACTTCTGCTCTGTTAGCCACTGCTATCTTCATGGATCTGACACTCTATTTATCTGACAGTGCACTTAGTACTGCTTCGCCAGGGAAAATCACACAAACCCAGCCTGGCGCATCAGCACTTTCATTGTGTGCCGGGCTGAGCCTCCCTTCACATGCTCACATCCCCCTTTTAATCCAGTACTCCCTTTCCCCTCCCCAGTCCTGCCTGTTTCTGTGGCACTTATTGCTGGTTTCCCTGAGCTCCTGTTTCCACTTTGTGTTTTTTGTGGGGCCCAGGAAGCTAAAGCTGTGTGTATTTGTGGATCAGACAAGTGCAGCAAGTTAATATCATTGGCTTCTGAAGGGGAGAGTGAGGTGATGGCTGCGTTTAAGTTGGATTTCCTTCCAGAAATGATGGTGGATCATTGCTCTTTGAATTCCAGTCCTGTGTAAGTATTTTTGTTGTCTAATTTTTATCATAAGCAGAGGAACTGGGCTGTTTTCTTTGTTATTTGGTAAAACTGGTCCCTTTCCCTAAAAGAGGGAAGAAAAAAATTGGGTGAGGAAGCCAAAGTCCACAGTATTATTATTTTCTATTGTACTCTGATTCTGTCTCCTTACTACTGATTTCCTTGGGGCTGTAGCTAAGTTCTGTACAAAAGGGTACATTTGATATATGAGCAGCAACATCAACTCAAGTGTGCTGGCTCCAGTCCCTTCAAGCAAGCTGTAGTGTTTCCCCATGTGATAGATTCCAACGCATTTTTTTTTTTTTTAAACCTTAGCTTTACTGCTTTGTGTTGGGTATGCAATTTCAAACAATCTTTTGGGATGTTATTTATTTACATCAAATTCTTAGACTCATGTCACAGTGGAGACAGGTTACTAGAGTGTATTTAGTAATGTATGCAGAATGCTGTATTGGCATCTAAACTGTATCCCTGGGCCCTGATTTTTTCCTAGTCAAACTCAAAATGCAACACAACACATGATTTCAGGGATGTCAGATGTGTGCTCTTCCCCTCCCCTCCTCAGCAAAACTGTATCAATTTTGATTGGCAGTTTGCCCAAATTTTCAACATGGGAACAAGAAATCTAATCAGTTTAAAATACTGTTTAGTAAGTGACATTATCATTGTACACAGCTAAAATGCTAACCTGGTCCTGAGTTGTAGCTTCAGGGAACCTGAATTCTGAACTTCGTGAAGAACACATTTCTAACTCTTGTTTTCAGTTAATTAAACTAGGTTTCAAAGTATCTTGAAACCTCAAGCAGATGAGCCTTAGGTTATTCAAAGCCAAGAATATTAAATGGTAGAATATTCCCTAGATAACAGGCAGTAGTCTAAGTCCTTCAGTATAGCCCTCCGTTGGAAATCCATCTACCTTGGGATTATCTGTAGCAGGTGTGGATGATAGCAGATTTTGAACAGTTCTCTGTGGAATAGTTTGGGGGACCTCAAAGTTAGCTGGCTCACTCATTTGATACGGATGTTATGCCTTCTCTGTAGTGTCCAAAATAATGGTAATTTAGGTTTGTCTTTTTATGCAAGCTCTTTACTGCTAAAATTTTGTTATAGCTGTAGATAACAGGTGAAATCAATGCCATCATAAAGACTTAATATATATTATCAAAATACTCCCACATACCAGATATATGTCCCTAGAACTAGGACTTTGTGGCTCAAATTCTCTTTCATTGTAACAGTTTCTCTCTGTTTTGCCACCGCCTTTGTTCAGTCCTTAGTTACAGTATTTTTCCTCAGCCTGCTCTCTCATATTTCAAGAGGTTAAACTAATTCAGTATCCCATGAAGTCTGGATCACGGAACACTGCATGAAAGTCACCTGGAACATGAAAATGCTGATTCCTGGACCCATGCCCAGATATTCTGATGTTAGAAAAAGGCCCCAGAATCTGTATTTTAGCAATGCCCCATGTGGTTTTCATGCACACTGAAGTTTGAGAGCTAATGGACTGAATACAGGTCATTCTGTCAGAGGTGATCAGGGAGCACGCGGTTGGAGCATGTTTTCCCAAGTATGTTTGCCTTTGTTTTAGTCTTCCATCTTCTCAAAAGCTTTGGGAGGTTAATTGGGCACAGGCTGTTGCCTCTGTTTACAGATGAGAAACAGTTGAGAGGCTGTAACTGACTTGCCTGAGGACAATTGGTGTCGGCTTTGGACCTCAAATCAAGTTTAATGATAATCTTTTTATTTTTGCCCCCTAGACCAGGCTGCCTCAGGTGTCATGGAGCAGGTACCCATCGACTTCTTTCATTATTGCAAGTGTTTGGGCCCATTCTCATGGGCACCATATACCAAAACACAGATTTGGGAAGAAGAAAGTTCGTGAGAATGGTGTGTTTGCCACATTTTTGTTGGGTTCTCAGCCCTTCTTTTAATTCGTACTCTTTAGCAGGAGACTTGACATCAGTAGTTTTCTCTCTCAAGTGATTTTGCCCAGTAATGTGATCTAGCAATGTATCTATTTCAAAATTTCCTGCAAAAGAGAAGAATGGCTGGAGGAGCTATGGAAGGGCTGGGGACCTGAACTGTAGTTCCTGTTCTTACTTTTAACAGTGTCCTTGATTCTGCTGTGACTGCTCTTCAGCTTCCCTGGTTTCTCTTACTTTGCTTGTACCCTAGGAAATGGGTGTTCTCTAGGAGTTGTAGCTCAGTCCCTTTTAGCTTTCCCTTGGCTTAAGGGGGTACCGATTGCTTTTCTGATTCTCACATCTCTGTATTTTTCCCCCAAATGTCCCCTGAACTTCCCCGTGCAAAAACACTTTCCCAAAATGACTGTACTAGAACCTAAGAGGGATCAGTAACTTCTTTTCCTCATCTTTTTCATTGGGTTATCTCCAATTTCTAGTGGGTTCTGCCCCCAAATTTTTCAGCATTGCCTGAGACTGGGCCCTAATCTTAGGAGCTAGTTTGTGCAAAAATCTCTTTATTTCCCCACTTTTATTTCATCCTCTGTATTGTCAGTTGTCTTTAAAAGACCAGTCCGATCACTTCCTTGTTTAAAAATCTTGTAATAGCGGGGCCTGGGTGGCTCAGTTGGTTAAGCATCCGACTTCAGCTCGGGTCATGATCTTATAGTTTGTGAGTTCGGGCTCCATGTTGTGCTCCGTGCTGACAGCTCAGAGCCTGGAGCCTGCTTCAGATTCTGTGTCTCCCTCTCTCTCTGCCCCTCCCCTGCTCTCACTCTGTCTCTCTCCTTCAAAAATAAATAAACCTTAAAAAAAGAATCTTGGAATAAAGTCCAAGCCTGTTAGTATCACAAGAAAAGCTCTTCAGGGCATCTTTCCAATGTATCTGTTTATTCTCCGTGATTTTCTAATGTTTTCTCTCTTTTTTCCTAATCTTTTAAAATGTGTACTCTCCCCTAAGTTTCTCAAGTCCTTTTTTTACCTAATGTTATCTTACCTTCTTCTCTTTTTTCTGAGTTCTTACCATTTTCACATCACTCCATTCTATACAGCACTGTTTCCAGCCCCTTTGTCCATTCAGCTTAAGTCCCTGCCCTCCTCCTCCAAATACAATAAAACCATCATACCCATTTTTTTCCCCCACAGAACTTTTAAGCATCCGTGAAAATATTTGTAGGTCCTTATAGTTGTGTTCTTCCACTTGTTTGGTGCCATCACCTTCAGGACAGGTACTGCTCAGTCCCCTTCTATAGCCCCTCGAGTGTGTAGTATCTGGCACATAGTAGGAGGTTAGGAAATACAGTTGAATGAATGATAAGCCCTGTGAGGTTTGTTTGTTTTTAATAATTAAAGATAATTACTGAAATAAGGTCTCTAGGTGTTATCTCCATTTCTCAGGGAAGAAGGCTGAAAACCTTCACAAGCATTGTTAGCCTGTTTAGTTGTTGAAAGGTGACTTAACCTTTATTAAGAGCTTTTTCTAATACCTAACATCCCAACTAACAGGAAGATCTCCCTTTATCCAAAAGGAAATTCCTTCCTTCCAGAATATGTACAGTTTTGTCTCACTAGAGAACAGTTGGTAAGTAACTCAGGCCAGTGTTTCTGGGTCCTTTTTATTCTGATGTTCTTCTGTGCCGGTTTTCCACAGCACAGTATCTGAGCCAGAGGGACCTGGTAGGGGTGGGTGGTGGCTGAAGATTGGGAAGCAACAAATATTTATGCCTCTTGGGGATTGGTAAGTATCCAAAATTTTTCTGTTTGTATAATGAACAAATGGAGGTCAACAGGTAATGAGAAGGGTTGAGTGGAAAAAAATGAGTAATGAAAGGTTTTGGGAATTATTTTTTAATTTATTGAGGTATAGTTGACATACAGTATTGTATTAGTTTCAGGTATGCAGCACAGTGATTTGACATTTGTGTACGTTGTGAAATGGTCGTGACAGTAAGTCTATTGTCACCTGCAAAGTTAATAGTTTTATTTATTATATTCCCATGCTGTACATTACATCCCCATGACTTAATTAACTGGAGATTTGTATTTATTAATCTCCTTTACTCATTTTGTTCCCACCCAAGGAATTGATTTTTGAGCAGATGTAAAGGTAGTATTTGCCAGCCTGTTTGGCTGCAAAGAACAGATACCCACTGGAGCTAGCATATGTGAAAGGGGTTTTTTGTAAGGGCACACATGGGCTGGACTGTAATGTAATTAGGAACTTTCTGGAAGACTTAGAAAATCCTTTCTTTCTGACCCAGGACACACGTTCTCTTGTCCTCACTGCACGTGCTGCTGCTTGATTGCAGCATGGCTTTGCCTTGCCATTCTCCCTCCCATCCCGTTTTCTTGCTCCGTCTCTCTTTGTCTCTCAGATTAAGATATAATTCACATAACATAAAATTTATCCTTTTAAATGCATAATTCAGTGATTTTTACTGTGTCCACAAAGTTGCACAACTGCCTCCGCTGTCTAATTCCAGAACACTTTGATCACCCCAAGAAGAAATCTGGTACCCATTAGCAGTCATCCTCCTGCACCCCCAGTTCCCATTCCTAGGCAACTGCTAACCTGCTTTCTATCTTTATAGATTGGTCTGTCCTGGAAATTTCATATAAATGGAATCACACAATGTGTAGCCTTTTGTGATTGGCTTCTTTCACTTGGCATCATGTTTTCAGGCTTCATCGATGTCCATGTTGTAGCATGACCTCTCTTATCTCTTGCCACTGCCCTTTTACCTTGTCACCTTAGGCTGTCTCTGCTTGCAGCTTCCCGAATTCTGACTTCATCACTGCCTGTTTCTGTTAACCAGTTCCAGGTTCTGTAGAGCAGTGTTCTGTGCCATAGAGCTTTCTGTTATGATAAAAATGTTCTCTGCCTCTCCTTATCCTATGCAGTAACCACATGTGGCCAGTGGCTATTGTCTTGCTCGGTAAAGCCAAGCCGTAAGGAGCTTGATTGGCCAGGCCTTTCTGTTTTAAGCATAGGTCTTAGATTTCTGGCTACCCGGTAGATCAGTTTGTTGGGTTAAGGTTCACCCCACTGGTATAGTTAGGTGGAGCCAGGGGATGGGGAAAAAGTGGGACAAGACATTAACTCTGCCCCCCTGAGCTGGGCCTGGGGCCAGGAAGTTTTGAGAGGGAGATAAGAGAAAGAAGAGAGGGTTTAAGAATTCTGAACAAATGTGTGCTTTGAAAATGAAGCTCTTAGTTTTGTCTCTCCTGTTTCTCTTCCAAAATGGTTCTCTTTTTTACTTTCCTATAGCATGTTCCATCAAGAATCCAGGTAGACAAGGCAGCCTCTGGTCCTGATTTTTCACATTTTCTCATTTTTAATGATTTGCTAGTTGCTGCTAGAAGCAGAAACGTAAAACAAGGTGGTTGGTGCCATGCCTCTCCCCTAAAACACTTGCTGCCTCCTTATCTCTCTTCTTCCTTCCTTGTTTCCCTCATTCCCTGCTTTTCCACTCTCCCACCCTGCTCCCAGGTCAGTAATTTCACAGAGGGTAAGAATATCCATAGACTTGCTTCTTAAGAATGACAGGGATAGTATAGGTACTTCTCCAGGGGGCTGCTGAATTCATTGGTTCTTGAGTAGGCATAATAAATATTAGTAATTCATGATCACTGACTCTGAGGAGCTCTCCATCAATGGGGAGGTAAGGCACACATTTGAGAGTGTTTTTAGTGATATGTAGAGTAAATGCCACACCTTGATGACGTGGGGTCCTTGGCATATCACACTGAGAGTCTTGTTCCCAGGTGACTTTTTTGTGCAGTGGTTACTTCTAAGGACAACATGCATGCTGGAAATATGTGAGGAAATTGAGGATGGAAGAACATTGTTGTTCATTTCCTCTGACACAATAAAAGTTTATAATGATGTTTTCCTTATTCACCAATATATACCACATTTCACATAGTGTCTGGCCTGTATAACTGTATAAGTGCCCAGGATTTATTAGAGGAAAGAATAAGTCAGTGCAACATTCCGGTTACATGATGTCCACAGCATCTTCAACATGGCCTGGTAATTTGCTGTGCTCTAGAAGTGCTTCTCAGACTGGTGAAGAACCATGTCCTAAGCCTGTCACGACCTGACTTCTAAAATACAATAAAAACAGTCAAGTAGGAAGACAAGATAATAAGGTATAAGCTTGCATTTTGTATCTTTTAATTATTATTAGATTGAATATATATAAAGTTACCTAGTTCAGTTTCTATAAAAGTTTCTAAAGGGGTGGGGCACCTGGGTGGCTCAGTGAGTTAAGTGGCCGACTCTTGACTTCAGCTCAGGTCATGATCTCACAGCCCATGAGTTTGAACCCTGCATCGGGCTCTGCACTGACAGTGAGGGACCTGCTTGGGATTCTTTCTTTCCTCTCTGCCCCTTCCCTGCTTGCGGTCTCTCTCCAAATGGGGGTCTGGGGGAGGGAGTTTCTAAAGGGTTAAATTTGAAGATTTTCCCTGGTCCTTGGCACTTTGAATAGCACTGGTCCAGAAGATTCTTCTGGCAAATGAATTGGTATATACAGAGGGAAAGGGTGGTTCATGGAGTAGGTGGATGTGAAGAAATGGAGAAGGATTTGGAGAGTAAAGAGAGAAAGGGAGGGTATTCATCTAGAATGCTGAGTCTCCACTGAACTTTTAAATAAACCGTAATTCACATATGTTGATTACTGATGATTCTTTTGCACTAAACAGTGATGTAGAAAATTTAGAAATGGCACACAAATACAGAAGGAACGGACAGAGTGTTTGCCTTCAATATAATTACAAATCAGCAAACCCCTGCCTCTTTTCAAAAGTAGTGTCAACATTCTTATCAAAACATATTCTGAGCACCATTTGGGGGTTCTGTGTTAACCCTGTAACCCTCCCTAGGATGGAAATATTAAAGACCAGCAACATTTTAATAAAATGATATTAAAACTGGTAATTAAACTTGTTAGAGGCAGGTTGTTGGGAGCGACAGCCATTGTTTCGTTAGTCATAGAGTTTTGGGTTTTTTTTTTTTTTTTTTTTTAAATCATAGCGTGGTTTGTTAGAACATTGGGATTACCTTCTAAAAGTGACTACGTTTCATCTATATAAATATATATATAAATGTTTATTTTTGAGAGAGAGTGTGAGCTAGGGGGAGAAGAAGATACAGAATCTAAAGCCGGCTCCAGGCTCTGAGCTGTCGGCACAGAGCCAGACATGGGGCTCGAACCCATGAACTGCAAGATCATGACCTGAGCCAAAGTCAGACGCTTAACCGACTGAGCCCCATTATATTTTTACAACAACCTGAATTTAGTAATTCAAAACTAAAGGAAAACCAATAAAATAATGCATTTCAAAACACTTGGGGTAGATTGATCTGGTGACAAATAATCACAGGAGATAACAGCTGCTCTTTGTGAGCCCTCTTTGTGCACAGTGTTTATTTTTATCAGGATTAGTTGCTTAAATTAAAGGGGGAATTGTTGAGGACAAGAAATTCCTCCCATCTCACACATCTGAGGACTTACTTTGAACCAGGTGCTATGCCAGGTGTGACTGTAAGAATGAATAGCAAACAAAACAGTTTCTGCCTTCAAGGAACTCTCAGTCTAATTGGGAGAGCTAGATATAGGCAGATTATGCTAAAAGGTGGTAAATACTATAATGAAGGGGGAAATTTAGTACTGTTTGAGTCCTGACGAAACAGACTAAATTTACCTGAAAGAACATGGGGAAACCTTTCCAGACATAGTAGCAAGAGTTGGTCTATATGCCATTTGCCTTACAGCTTTTGATATTTAGTACTAGATTCAGCCAAGGCAATATGTAAATAGTTCCTGTGGGTGTTCAGTTAAAAGTAGGAATTAAAATACAGAGGTTAAACCACCTTCATAGATCCAGCATTCTCAAGTATCTTCAAATATTGTTCAGAAGATAGCACTGGTAGAAAAACTGTTGTTTTTCCTTTAAAGGAAACTAGTGTTTTATTTAGGGTTGATATTAGGACGTGGCAAATTTGTTTTTTTTTTAAACATTTATTTATTATTGAGAGACAGAGCATGAGTAAGGGAGGGGCCAAGAGACAGGGGGACACAGAATCGGAAGCAGGCTCCAGGCTCTGAGCTGTCAGCACAGAGCCAGTCGCGGGGCTCGAACTCACAAACTGAGAGATCATGACCTGAGCTGAAGTCGGACGCTTAACCGATGGAACCACCCAGGCGCCCCGAGGACGTGGCAAATTTGAATATGATGAAGTGATTTCTGGATTAAGCATGCACTAACAGAAAAGTTAGCCATGCTGGCTGTTTGGAACTTAAGGTGTTAATGGTTGTGATAAATGCTAAGATACAGTCTTGAGCTACAGTGGTAGGAGAAAGACTTTGATTCATTCTGAGTGGAAACGTTTGTAGTCCAGGAATCCCTCTAGGTTCTTGGCAGTGGGAGGGTTAAAATGAAGGTATTAAAGCAGGAGTGTTACAAGTTTGATGTGATAGGATTGCGAGAGTTTGTGGATGTTGTAATGGTTTACTTGGTAAGGGAATTAACTGGTACAGTCTTAGAGAACTAGTAGTAAGTTGGATAACTCAGAAACAAAAAACCCTAGGATGGTGTTGTCATTGTCTATATAACAATCATTTGTGAAAGTTTAAAAGGCGAAGCTTTGTTTTGGTCTTGGAAGCATGACTTAAGAGCACTGGGTCGAGGACTGAGACAGCAACATTCAAAGGCTGACATTCTTTCTGTTCTGTTCTTAGCTTAGGCCTTGGAAATCAAGTGCTTTGTTCTAACATCTGCTGAAAAAAGACTTGTCACCTGTCATTGTATACGAGGGGAGTCCTGCATCTTACCCACTAATCAACAGTCCATTGTGATTTTTATGCACATTTTTAAGAGTTTTGTTAACTGTGTTTCAAAACCACTAAAACTTGCTTTAGGAAGTTTGCCTCTTAGGTTCTTACAAGAATTCTCAGGCTAGACAAGGATTGAGTGACATTTGATTACTTAGTTAAAACCCAGAATGCCCTAATCAGAATGGTGACTTCAGTTTGGGATCTAATGGAAAGCATGGCCATGGCTAAGGGGAAGACCAGAGAACTCTGGTAAATTGAATGACTGTAGTGAAAAGAAGTAGAATTCTTTCTCCCGACTTATTTAGGAAGTAGTTGAGATCTTTAAAGAAAAGAAACATCTCCCTGGAAAGCACCATGAATGCATAATAGAAGCTATATTTTGTTTTATGCAGCTCAAAGAAAATGAACGGCACCCTGGACCACCCAGACCAACCGGATCTTGATGCTATCAAGATGTTTGTGGGCCAGGTTCCAAGAACCTGGTCTGAGAAGGACTTGAGGGAACTCTTTGAACAGTATGGTGCTGTCTATGAAATCAATGTCCTAAGGGATAGGAGCCAAAACCCTCCTCAGAGCAAAGGTAAGGGCTTTGGGTTGGTGTTTTGTTTGTTGTTGTTGTTTATTTAATTTTATTTATTTTGAGAGAGAGAGCATGTGCAGGTGAAGGGCAGAGAGAGAGAGAGAATCCCAAGCAGGCTCCATGCTGTCGGTTCAGAGTCTGACGCAGGGCTTGATCCCACAAACTGTGAGATCATGACCTGAGCCGAAATCAAGAGTCAGATGCTTAACTGACCGAGCCACCCAGGCACCCCAGGACTTGGGATTTTATATCTAATTTCTGTCATGTGCTTGCTGTCTCTCATTGCCGGAATGTTCCTGTGGTCACATCCAAAGGGGCTTTCCTTTTAGAATAGTTACATCTTCCAGCCCAAACACATTTAATGGCTTAAAAATAAAAAGTTAAGTTGATATCATGAGGATAACTTGTAAATTGGATCGTAGATGGTCCTTTGTGAGAGCTCTAAATTTAAGAGACAAACTCATGTGAGAGTCTGTCTCACTCTCTCTCTTTTAATGTTTATTTTTGAGAGAGAGCAGGGGAGGGGCAGAGAGGGAGACAGGACCTGAAGCAGGCTTTGCATTGTCAGTGCAGAGCCCAATGTGGGGTTCGAATTCAATGAACTGCTAGATCGTGACCTGAGCCGAAGTCAGGTGCTTAGCCAACTGAGCCACCCAGGCGCCCCTCTCTTTTTTTAAATGTGAATGTCTCTTGATCTTATGGATGCAATGGCAAAAATAAAGTTGAAGTAAACTAACTACATAAAGTTTTCTTTGGTGTTTTGGCTAGAATAAGCTGAAAGGAAGGCACTATCTACACTGTACCTATGAATTTCTGTTAGTGTTTGCAGAGTCTTCATAGGAAGGCTTAGCAACCAGGAAGGACCTGTTTTTAGGTAACCTGTTTGTTGTAGCCTACAAATGAATGGAAGAAAGACTGCGTTGCTTCCAGAAATGCCTAGCAGAGTAGAAGCTTTATGGGAGCAATGGTAGAAGAGGCACTAGCTTTGCCCTATTACATGCACATACAATATTCTTTTCCAAATGACCGATGTTAGAATAATTTTCTGTGGAAGCTGGTCTACAGTGCAGATGTGAGCAAGCAGGATTGTTAGGTTTGAAGCCAGCTTAAGAGCAGAGGATCAAGAAGCAGATAAATTACTTTCTCTATGTGTATAGTTAACCAAAAATATAAAGTATTATAGTTCCTTTATATTAACGACTGGCAGTAGAACATGCAGTACTTTAAAATCTTAATTGCAGGGTGATTTTGAAAGGAATCTATATGGTATCTCATGGGACGATGAGCCCCATGAGAGACACACCTCTCCCCTCCTATCCCTAATAAAGATACAAATCACAAAATCTACAAATCTCCTTAGTGCCATGTGCTGTTAGAATCTTAATTATATTTGATGAGGACCAAGGGTCCAAAAAAGGTATTAAGAGTTCCTTGCTCTTTAGTCATTTTATAATTTAATAAATTATTATGTTTGATGCGTATGGTAGAAATTGACTATAAGGATTGATTTATTCTGAGAAAGAATGAGTTCCTGGTAGACTACAAGGTGTGAGTGCAAGGCTCCTTTTTTATTTGTTCTGAGTGTCTTGCCCAGCACACTCCCTGGTGCTCCAGGTAGGGTACGTTGAATGGCATGGTACTGTTACCTTTGCAAGGGAAGTTATCTTTCCCAGAGAAGTTTATGGGAGCAGCTAAAGAATTTTAGTAGAAGCAGAAGACTATAACAATATAGAAAATGAATAGAAAGTAGTGTAGGGTGTTTTTCTGCTTCTTTCCCTCCCCCCCCCCCTTTCTCTCTTTGGGGGGAGGGATGCCAATTTTAATATACCCAGTCTTCTCTTTGAAGTTCCAGTATGTCTGTGGAGGAGGGAGTACTCTAGGAATTACCTGCTTTCAAAGGACTGGTTTGATTTTGTGAAATCTTGTTTATTGCAGGGTGCTGTTTTGTTACATTTTACACCCGTAAAGCTGCATTAGAGGCGCAGAATGCTCTTCACAACATGAAGGTCCTACCAGGGGTAAGAAAGCTCCTACTGGGAAGTGGAACTGTGGTGGTTTTAATACATGGAACATACTTATAGGTGTCAGGCCCACACTGAAAGCCATCTTGGGGAAAAAGTAACTGCCACAGAAATTGATGTAAAGGAGGACATAAAGGGAATATTTCAAAGAACATAGGCTGAAGGTCATGTAGTTCTCTCTTAACCAAAAGAATTTTAACCTCTTGATTCATACTCTATTTTGATACTTTGGGAAAAAATTATCTTGAGGCAGACGTGAGTTTAGAGAGAACTCTTAAGGCTCTGGTTTTGGTATTTCCTTTAGAGTCCTCACTTATCTTTCTGAATGCCTTCAGTGTGTACAGTGATAGTATCTGTGTGTTTTCCTTTTTAGATGCATCATCCTATACAGATGAAACCTGCCGACAGTGAGAAGAACAATGGTAAGCAAGTGTGTAAAAGCCTTCTCCTTAGAAGGTTTCTGCCAGTTTAGTGTTCATTCTGATGTATCTGGTTGTGTTTGCTTTAAGTAATCTTTTTATTATTATTATTATTATTATTATTATTATTGAAGTCTAAGTGACATAAAACATTCGTTTCAGGTGTGCAACATAATGATTCAGTATTTGTATATATTAAAATGATCACCCATAGTAAGTCTAGTTAGTATCTGTCACCATACATAGTAACAAAAAAAGTTTTGATGTGGGAATACAAGCTGGTGCAGCCACTCTGGAAAACAGTATGGAGGTTCCTCAAAAAACTAAAACTAGAACTACCCTATGACCCAGCAATTGCACTACTAGGTATTTATCCAAGGGATACAGGTATGCTGTTTCAAAGGGGCACATGCACCCCCATGTTTATAGCAGTATTATCAATAATAGTCAAAGTATGGAAAGAGCCCAAATGTCCATCAATGGATGCGGTGTATATATATATGTATGTATATATATATGTGTGTATATATATATATATAACCGAGGCACCCCAGGACTTGGGATTTTATATCTAATTTCTGTCATGTGCTTGTTGTACATATACACACACACACACACACACACACACACACACAAACATACAGTGGAGTATTCCTTGGCAATCAAAAAGAATGAAATATTGGCCATTTGCAACTACGTGGATGGAACTGGAGGGTATTATGCTAAGTGAAATTAGTCAGAGAAAGACAAATATATGACTTCACTCATGAGGACTTTAAGAGACAACACAGATGAACATAAGGGAAGGGAAGCAAAAATAATATAAAAACGGGGAGGGGGACAAAACATAAGATACTCTTAAATATGGAGAACAAACAGAGGGTTGCTGGAGGGGTTGTGGGAGGGGGGATGGGCTAAATGGGTAAGGGGCACTAAGGAATCTACTGAAATCATTGTTGCACTATATGCTAACTAATTTGGATGTAAATTTAAAAAAAGAAAATTAAAAAAGTTTTGATGAGAATTTTTAAGGTCTGCTTTCTAAGCAGCTTTCAAATGTGCATTACATTACTATTAACTGTAGTCACCAGGCTAAATTATTTTATAATGGGAAGTTTGTACCCTTTGATCCTTTAAAAAATTTTTTCAAGTCTTGTTATTTATTTTTGAGAGAGAGAGAGAAACTGAGCGTGAGGGGGAGGGTCAGAGAGAGAGAAGGAGACACAGAATCTGAAGCAGGCTCCAGGCTGCCTGCTGTCAGCACAGAGCCCAACACTGGGCTTGAACCCATGAACCAGGAGATTGTGACCCGAGCCGAAGTTGGACACTTGACTGGCTGAGCCACCCAGGTGCCCCACCTGTGGATCCTTTTTACCTTTTTTGCCCACTCCCTTACGCCCAACCTCCAACCACCAATTTGGTTTCTGTATCTATGAACTTAGGGAGTTTTTTGTTTGTTTTTAAGATTTTATGTAAGTGAGATCATACAGTATCTTTCTCTGTTTGACTTATTTCACTTAACATAAGGTCTAGGTCCATCCATGCCGCCACAAATGGCAAGATTCCCTTCTTTTTTATGGCTGAATAATATCCAGGGTGTGTGTGTGTGTGTGTGTGTGTGTGTGTGTGTGTGTGTGTGTGTGTGTGTATCCCACATTTTCTTTATCTGCTCATCTGTTGATAGACACTTAGGTTGTTTCCATGTCTTGACTATTGTAAATAATGCTGCAGTGAACATGGGTGTGCAGCTATTTTTCTTTTTAGGCTTTATTATTTTTAAAAAAAATTTTTTTAACGTGTATTTTCAGAGCATGAGTGGGGAGGGGCAGAGAGGAGGGAGTCAGATTCTGAAGCAGGTTCCAGGCTCTGAGCTGTCAGCACAGAGCTCGACACGGGGCTTGAACTCATGAACCGCGAGATCATGACCTGAGCTGAAGTCGGACGCTTAACCAAGTCACCCAGGCGGCCCATTAGGCTTTATTTTTAAATAATCTCTATACCCATTGTAGGGCTCAAACTCACAATGCCAAGATCAAGAGTCGCATGCTTCACCGACTTAGCCAACCAGGTGCCCGGAGTATGCAGCTTTCTGAGTTTGTGTTTTTGTTTTCTTCAGATAAATACCCAGAAGTGGAATTACTGGCTTATATGGTAGCTCTGTTTTTAAATTTTTGAGGAACCATGTTGGTTTTTACATTGGCTGCAGTCAGTTTACATTCCCACCAGCAATGCACCAAGGGCTCTCTTTTTCACATCCTCACCAACTCGTTATTTCTTGTATTTTTGATACTAGCCATTCTAACAAGTGGGAGGGGATACTTCATTGTTGCTTTGATTGGCATTTTCTTGATGATTGGTGATGTTGAGCATCTTTTCATGTACCTGATGGCCATTTGCTGCATGTCTTCTTTGGAAAAATACCTGTTCAGATCCTCTGCCCATTTTTTTTTATTTTTAAAAAAAAAAATTTTTTTTTTTTCAACGTTTATTTATTTTTGGGACAGAGAGAGACAGAGCATGAACGGGGGAGGGGCAGAGAGAGAGGGAGACACAGAATCGGAAACAGGCTCCAGGCTCTGAGCCATCAGCCCAGAGCCTGACGCAGGGCTCGAACTCACGGACCGCGAGATCGTGACCTGGCTGAAGTCGGACGCTTAACCGACTGCGCCACCCAGGCGCCCCTGCCCATTTTTTTTTAACTGGGTGCTGTGTTTTGTTGTTCTTGAGTTGTAGGTCTTATTTATATATTGGATATTAACCCTTTATCAGATACATGATTTGCAAATATTGTTCCCATTCAGTAGGTTGCCTTTGCATTTTGTTGATGATTTTCTTTGCTCTGTAGAAGCTTTTTAGTTTGATGTAGTCCCACTTGTTTATTTCTGTTTTTGTTGCCTTTGTTTTGGGAGTTAGATCCAAAAAATCATCTTTAAGATTGGTTTTATGGAGCTTACTGCCTATGTTTTCTTCTCGGAGTTTTATGGTTTCAGGTCATATGTTTAAGTCTAATCCATTTTGAGTTAATTTTTGTGTATGGTGTAAGATTGTAGTCCATTGCACTAAGTAATCTGTTATCTAAATTGTCTGGGTTTTTTTTTCTTTAAAATAAATATGGTAAATAAATGAGATGGAGAGAGTTGATATGTAAATAGTACAAGAACATTTTAGAGTAAACTGGAATGTCTTTGATGAATATAATTTCTTACGACAAGAATGGGGGAAGGGGAGATGGACAAGTAGGAAGGAGAACTTAGTCTTCAAGAGAATAATCAGAAAAGGAAAGTGGACATTTACACTCACCAAAAGGTGTGTTCTGTTTCTCTTGTCATATCAATTAAATGTGGAAAAACTTGTCCTTCTTTGGTGTAGTAGAACTGCTAGTAAGAGCAAATATCACTAAGTGCTAGGCAAGATGCTGAGTGCTTTGCATTTAATACCTACAGCTACCTTTAAGAGAAACACGGTTAGCCCTGTTAATCAGAAGTGACAGGCACAGAATGGTTAAGTAACTTTCACAGGATCGCAAATTACTATATTTTATCTAAATGTTTCCAATTTAAAGGTTCAGTTGATTATAAGATGAGTTGCTAAATGATGAAAAAATGTGTATCTTAGAATCCAAGTAATAGGATATAAAGGCATAGAGCCAGGATCCAAACATAGATGGTCTGACTCCAGGGTCTATGCCATACTACCTCTTGTAGTAATGATGTTCAAGCCTTTTGTGTTTTACTCTCTTAGCAGTGGAAGACAGGAAGCTGTTTATTGGTATGATTTCCAAGAAGTGCACTGAAAATGACATCCGAGTCATGTTCTCTTCATTTGGACAGATTGAAGAATGCCGGATATTACGGGGACCTGATGGCCTGAGCCGAGGTGGGTACATTTTTAGCCTTTAAAGATACTGGTCTTAAATTTAGAGTCTCTTTTAGTTAGACCAGTGGAAACCAGGGATCACTAGCTAACATGACCCTGTGATGATGGAGTGGCTGGGCTTGATACTGTAAATGTAGGTTCCGTCTACCAACTGATTCCTTTAGAATTGTCCCATCCCCCTAAGGAGTCTGCATTCTGCACTTCAATGTCATGTATTAAAATTTTCTCTTTTTGTGCTTGGACAGGTCCTTAATGGAAACACTTTCTTATCCAGAGGAACTAGAGGATTAGGATTTCTCTCCTTTATCCCTTTATCAAGGACTTTCTTTCTTGTTGTGCTTCCCTACTTTTTCACTGAAGCACTAGTCACTGTTACAATGTATCTGTCTCCTTTACTAGATCTCTAACCCCTGAAGGCAGGAACCATGACTGTTATTGCTAGCATAGTACTTGGCACATAGCAGGTGCTCAGTAAATGTCAATCGGATATTTAATAAGCAAATGAATGAATGAGTTATTGACACTTCTCTTACCAGGTTGTGCATTTGTGACTTTTACAACAAGAGCCATGGCACAGACGGCTATCAAGGCAATGCACCAAGCACAGACCATGGAGGTAGGGAGCAGATGAATGAAAGGGAAAAGTTCCTTAGCCTGAGAGTGCTAGGACAGTTGGCCATTAAAGTTCTGCAGCATCTGACTGCCCTAAAGGTTAAGCAGGCTAAGCATCTTAAAGTGAAAAAAATGATTGCTTTTTAAAAAATTAACATATTAGAAGTTGCCCTTTTAAATTTGTCTTTTTGCCATTTGTGTCTGTCAGGAAGAGAGTCATGTGGCAGTGAATGAAATTAGAATGCATCTTGTGTGTCACTACAAAGGAGGATTTTTCCTTCGTGTAGAAGGAGGACTTTCACCCTTTGGCTTTGGTGTTTTCATAGGGCTGCTCATCTCCCATGGTGGTAAAATTTGCTGATACGCAGAAGGACAAAGAACAGAAGAGAATGGCCCAGCAGCTCCAGCAGCAGATGCAGCAAATCAGCGCAGCATCTGTGTGGGGAAACCTTGCTGGTCTAAATACTCTTGGACCCCAGTATTTAGCAGTGAGTCTTTGTGGTTTGCTTTCTGCAGACTGTGCAAGCTCCCAGCTGTTTTCTTCTTGTGCCATCCCTAGCTAATAGACACAATGGCATTTACGACTTTAACATATCAAAATTTTACGTAAAACTTAGGCAATGCAATATTCTTTTAAGTTATGTTAGTGTATCTCTCTGTCTCTCTCTCTGTCTTATAAACACAACTTTGGTTATAATTTGAGACTTCCATTACTATTAAAGTGAAATCCTGATTTCCTGATCAAAGATTTAGAAATATCTCCAGTGTCCCTGTCACTTCATTTTTTTAAAAAGAAAATCCTAAGAGAATCTTAACTACCAAATATCTCCATATTTCTTTCTCCCAGATGTAGAGAACATAATTAAATGCTTATTGAGTCTTTCCTGAAGAGTATGGTAAATGTTTCTTTCCACTGAGAGAGCAAGATACTGGCACAGACATTATTAAATGAGTATTACAGGTGTATATTTGAGTTCCCTACATTATAGATGGATAGCCTTTAACTCTTTCCATCTTGTTCTTGAGTTTGACTTATGTAGTCCAAAGGCTCTAATTTGGTGTTTAGATTTACTAGATCTACAAATATGTTACAGGGGATTATCACTGCTTTAAAATCTTAAAAGAATAGCAGTATGAAATACTTAAAACTATCTCATCTGTGAAGCTGTCAATGAAGGAAAATCAGTGGTGAAACCAATAGATTCGTATGGATAGTCCCAAAAATATACACATAAGAATAATTACATACTTTTACTCTAAAAGTATGTAATTTAAACATTTAAATTTTAAAACATCCTTTAAAACATTGTCCTATACAGAAACAAGAAAGGCAATGATTTCTGTCTCCCAGTATTGAGTTTTGGCTAATTTGCTGCCTCCTGGTCTTCATATTTCTAAAATGTTAGAAGAAATCCCAGTTTTCCAGCTAGTATTTCTCTGAAGTCAAAAAGTATAGATGGTTGGTATATCTCATCAGATTAAGTTGTTTCTTAGTGCTAGAACATTGCTTGTAAGTTCAGGAAATTCAGAGAGATTTTATTTTAGTCTTCTGCCAAAATGATAATGCGTTTAAAATGATCTCCGTTATATGCATTCGCCTTTCTTAGAGAGTTTTGGAGCTCTTTTTTGGGGTAGAGTCTCCTTTTTATTGCCATCACCACATCCAGCAGCACATGATGGTATTTGTTGAGAGCTGCGGTCTTTTTGTTTCAGTTAGACATGATCCCTGCCCTCAGAACTGTTCTCATTTAGGGAGGAAATGAAGGTGCCAAGTATAGAATGCACAGCCCACCAGTTGGGGTTGAGCACATTGCCCAGGGTATTTAAGAAGACAAAAATGAGGACATGTGGTATATAAATGATAGTACATTAATATTAATTATAAGGTTCTTTCTGGAATAGGTGGACTTGAACCTCTAGTCTGTTTAGACTATAGCAGTGGTTCTTAATCTTTGTGGGGTGTGGACCCCATTGAGAAGCTGATAAAAATTGTGTGTATATACATTTTCTCATTCTATATCTGGAGGTTTGAGAACCTAAAACCTATATGGACTAAAGGGATTCATGATGACTGAGGAACCAGATCGGGTGTTCATGGAAATGGGCAACAGGTTGAATAAAGGATTCAGAAATGAGGATACCAGTTGTACATGAGGAAAAGTGATTGGCTTTGAATGGAGCAAAGGTTTTCAGCCGGTTTGTTAGTCAAAGGTTGCTGTTTGCAAAGATAGTAAGATCATGGAGATCCATAAGCTCATGGACAACCTCTTGTTGTATTTGTTAGGGGGCAGCAATTGAAAGAATATACGCTGAACTGATCATGATCAGTCCGTTCGTCAGTCATCTGGTCATCCGTAACAGTGAAGACCAGTTTTGTGGGGGAGGAGATAAACGGGGCTGTATGGATATATAGCATCAAAAGATTGGTCTTTTCGTGTTCCGTTGTCGCCACTAAAGAATGACTCCAAGAAATACCCTGAAATGGTTTAGATTTGATATTTAAAATAATAGTAGTGTGAAGTAGAAATTGAGTGCCTAGGTGGGAACAATCTGCAAAATAAGATGTGTGCGGAGTGAACTAAGAACTTGGGAGCGAGGAACTAGATGTGGCAGTCCTCCTCCATCTGCAGACTCTCATTGCAGTGGATTGCATAGCTGAGCTTGGTTCTCTGCTCGACTTCTGTCCTCTGCTGTGCTGCCTTTCTGTTGCCCAGGGACTTGAGCTTGGTCAGTACTCAGTGACTGTAAATGTCTTCTGGGCCAGGGCTTTAGCTGTGTCGTATTGTCCTGTGCTGTCATAAGCCTCATGTTTCTGTTGTGTTGGCTTGGGTTCTTGTCTTCAACTCTCTTCTCTCTGGGGGCCTCTGCACTCTCGCTTTGCTGTGCTGTAGAGTTATCCCAGATGCAGAACCAGCCCTCACTCTCACTCTTGTTCTGTTTTTTGGTGTAATGTCTAGCTTTATTTGCAGCTCCTTCAGCAGACTGCCTCCTCTGGGAACCTCAACACCCTGAGCAGCCTCCACCCAATGGGAGGTAAGTGTTACGCTGCTGTGGAGGAGCAGCAGCCACCAGGCCACCAGACCCAGCTAACAACAGTCTGAGAGTTTTGCACCGTTTGTACAGAAAACAAATGTTTTCCCACTCATTACATAAACCCAACGCAAGATGCACATCCCAGAACTCAACCGCCTTGTCTCTAGAAGGTGGCTCTGTTAGTTGCTGATGCAAGATTGCTTTGGGGTTGTCTGATACTCCCACCCCTTTAAGTCTCTATTGAGGAGGAAGATGGAAAAAGAGGTGTTAGCATGTGTGGGCTATCTGAGGCCGTTTTGATAAGGAGAAGATTGCAGGAACTCTTTATTTCCACAATAACGTGACTTTTCCAGTGAATCTGTAAAGTCTAAGAAGAAATCCATGCAAATGACTTACCCAGAAACTGCTGAAATCTAGGCAGTTAATTTACCTCTGTGTCTTATACGTGTTAATTTCTTAGGTGAATTACCTTTTGTTGCTGTTAACATGCATAGAAAACTTAATTGACAAATATCTGAGTTGATGACAAAATGGGGCTCCACAGACAAAAGTAGGGCCATCAGACAAGTTAGTGGAGGTAGGGAGTGGAGCAGTCCCAGGGCCTCTGCCCCTAACCCTTCTGCAGTGGGTGAAGGCCCAGCAAGTGTATTTGAGAAAGGGGTAGTCTTAGGTGAACTGCATTTTAGTGTGTGAGAAATTTTGATAGTGGTTCACTTTGTCTTTAGGGACCTGGAGTTTGGTACGTTTTTCGAAAGTTGCTAAGTTTTTGGAAATCTCTGTTGTAGTTTCGTTTTTTATTCTTCCTAACTCCCTGCAAACCACTTCCCATCTGCTTTTCCATGATCCAATAAATGGTTTGCAACACACTGTCGGTGCAGTTCAGATTTCTTGTTCCTTTTAACTGTTGCTTGGATTCTACTTGGAGGTCCCCCCCCCCCCCCCCCCCCCCCCCCGCGCATTGTTTTTCTCTCTCTTCTTTCTGATGAGTAATCTGCTATTAAAGTGGTGGTTTTTCCTTAGTCTTTCTCCTATTGCTGTTCTCACGTGTATTCCCCTCCTGTCATTCCTCCTTTGGCCACCTGAATCCTGCTGCATTTTCTGCCTGTCCACCTCTGCTGGAAAGAGCAAATCCCCCATAAAGTGGGAGCGAGGGGCTCAGATGCAGTCCTGCTCTGTGCCATAGGTTTTGTCATTTGTTGTTCTCTTGGACACCTGGTGTGATGGTAGACCACAGACCTAACCCTCTCCTGGTTTCCTAATTGCCAGTCCCTGTTGTGAATGTTCACTTGGGGTGTCATGCTGTTGGATTAGATACCTCTTCTCTGAGGAAATGATGTCAAGTTTCTTAATGAATTGAGTGATATCTGAATCTTTTTTGGAGCCTTGTAGTATTACATGTAAGGTTTATCTAGAAGAGGTCCTTTTGGGACCAGCCTTCGCCAGTGTGTGCGGTCATTGCTGGAGTGGTTACGAGGAACCTTTATCTGCTGGCTGATCTCTTGCTTTGGATGTTGCAGGGTTAAATGCAATGCAGTTACAGAATTTGGCTGCCCTAGCTGCTGCAGCTAGTGCAGCTCAGAACACACCAAGTGGTACCAATGCTCTCACTACATCCAGCAGCCCCCTCAGCGTACTCACCAGTTCAGGTAAGCATGTCACCGGAACCCAGTGTGCCTTGTGCAGAATCCCAAGAGAGGGGTCTGTCATTCTGGAGAGTGGTTAACATCCCTTTCCAAAGGGGTCAAGATTATGAACAGTTAATTTTCAAATGTCATCTTGTGACTTAAGAGAAATCTCACAGTTTTGAGTTTGTTGTAACTGTCATTTGACTCTGTGTCCCGCAGTGACAGTTACCAGAATCAGTAACTGAAAACCTCTTTATGAAGAGAATACTTGAGTAGTATTACTCTTGTGCTTTGGTTCCTGTTGACATGAGGAACACGTGTTGGCTCAAGTTTAACACTTGGGTTTCTGGTCACAGGGTCCTCACCAAGCTCCAGCAGCAGCAGCTCTGTCAACCCCATCGCCTCCCTTGGAGCCCTGCAGACATTAGCTGGAGCAACGGCAGGCCTCAACGTCAGCTCTTTGGCAGGTGAGAGACAGCCCCTGGATGCCATCAGGCCATTCTTTGTTCAGGTAGCACATCTTAGGGTCCCCAGTGGAATGAACAAGGTGGCCCGGTGAAGTTAGGAATAATGGTGGGATTTCAAGTCAGACCTGAGTTAAATCCCACCTCTGCTCCTTAACTAGCTATAACCTTATACCCCCTTTCTAAGGTCATTTTCTCATCTGTGAAGTGGGAATAGAATACTTTGAGGGCTGTGAAGTAAATGAAAACATCGGTAAAGTGCTGAGCTCATGGCTTAGTACAGTGTCAGGCACATAGAATTTGCTGCTATTTTGATAATAGGGTTTACCCACATCTTGTCGTAAACCACACACACCCCTTTTAGTCTCCAAACATGGGATGCTTATTTTGCCACATTCCAGCTTTGTGAGAAAGTAGCAGAAAGCCAGAGAGAAAATGGAGCAGGTCATGTGTAAGTGTTGTCATGTCTCACACAGGTAGGAAGAATGTAATGGGGAGAGCCACACCTGCGTGTGGCATTTTTTAATGTTCCCATTGGCAGTAAGGCCTGGTGAGTGTCTTGAGACCTGACCAGTCAGGGAGAAGCTGAGAGAGAGATAAAAGGGAAAACCTTGGAGTTGTGTTTGGCGTCAGTCAAGTCTTCCCAATATGTTAATCCTGCTCTTCCCCACAACCAAGGGATGGCTGCTTTAAATGGTGGCCTGGGCAGCAGTGGTCTTTCCAACGGCACCGGGAGCACCATGGAGGCCCTGACGCAGGCCTACTCGGGAATCCAGCAATATGCTGCCGCGGCACTCCCTACTCTGTACAACCAGAACCTGTTGACACAGCAGAGTATCGGTGCTGCTGGAAGCCAGAAGGAAGGTGAGTGCGGAAGGACGACGAGGGGGTCGCTCTCCCCGCAGGCGGAGCTGAAGGCAGGGCAGAGGCCAGGAGGATCGTTGAGGTGGTCAGATCAGTGCTTTTCTTTGGCAGTGTCAAGGGTAGACTGAGAAGTTCTGTGCTGAGAAGTGTGCTCTGCTTTGGGACTGTTCTCTGGATGTGGCTCACATGAGAACCTGTGTTTGCCCTCCTGTAATCTGGCTGCAGGTTTTAGATGAAGAAGCATACTGACCTTACCGTGTGACAGTATTTTGACAATCTGTCTTTGTTAGGAAGTCATCTTTGTGGATTATAAATTTCTCAGAGGATATCTTCTGTCAAGGTGTCCCTTTTAAGCTCTCTTACTTGGCATTTTCCTCATTTTCTGATCTGTGCTTTTCCTAATTAACGAGGCACTGAAGGTGACGGGACAGAAAATTATGGCCCGTGGGTTGATGGATTGGGAAGTGTGTGCTGTGGCATAAATGGGATTAAATTCAGGAGACTTTTCTAGGCAGAAAGAGGCGTGAAGGTGGTTTGTATCAATAGAAAGTCCTGCTGACACCTCTGTGCTCATACTTGACTGGATTTCTGCAGCCCAAAGCTGGCAAGGTTTAAGCACTGATGTGGGGAAAAGACACATAGCCTCTCTCGCCATGGCAGCAAGGACTCCTGGTACGGTGCATCCTCACCTGCTCTGAATCAAGATGCTTCTGTACCTAGGATATGGTAGTGGAGGAACTGGAAGAACTGTGGAGAGGGACAGTCTAAAGCAGGAAAAGCATGAGGTGTTCCATATGGTGCTCTGAAGACTGATGAATGGGAAAGAGGGATGGGGAGCACCAGAGGCACAGCATTTTGTGTAGAATGGTCAGAGAAGGTCTCTCACTTGCTGTTTAATCAGAGACCTGAGGAAGTAAGCTAGCAATGCATACATCTAGAGGAGGAAGGGTAATGCGGGCAGAGGAACACCTCTGTTTCATCAGTGCAAAGGCCCTGATGCAGTAGTGTTCTGTAATGTGTTTGGTGACAGCAGGGAGGCTGGGTGGCTGGAGAATGGCTGGACTGCAGTTATAATAAGTTGCCTTTGGTTAGAAAGTCATTGAGTGTAAATGGTTGGAAGAAGAAAGCACATTCTGGTTTTGAGCCCAGAGTTAATCATAGATACCTTTTTCTTTTTAAATGTTAATTTTTTAAATTATTTTTTATGTTTTTGAGAGAGAAAGAGACAGAACATGAGCAGAGGGGTGGCACAGAGAGAGAAATTAGAAATACAGAATCTGAAGCAGGCTTCAGACTCTGAGCTGTCAGCACAGAGCCCGACGCAGGCTCAAACCCACAAGCTGTGAGATCATGACCTGAGCCGAAGTTGGACACCTAAGAGGGAGAGAGAGTGTGCACACGTGGGAAAAGGGCGGACAAAGAGGGGGACAGAGAATCCGAAGTGGGCTCTGTGCTGACAGCTGAGAGCCTGATGCGGTGCTCCAACTCATGAACCGTGAGATCATGACCGGAATGGAAGTCAGATGCCTAACTGACTGAGCTACCCAGGTGCTCCAATCATAGGCACTTTTTAAAATGTCATTTCTTTTTATTGAGGTATACTATACATGTGGTAAAATTCACCCTTTGGGGAGCATACAGCTCTGTGAGCTTTGATGAATGCATACAGTCATGTAACCACCTTTACAGATGGAGAATGTTTCCATTGCTCCCCCCACCCCACAATTCCCTCATGTCCCTTAGTCATTCCCGGCCCCCACCTCCTGCCTCACAACTGCCAATCTCTCTTTGCTGTCCCGATACTTTCTAGCACAGTTTGGAAACCTGTTATGTTTATAATCTCTCTCTACTTCTTTTTCTGTGTTTCTGTACAAGCCTTTACTCTCCAGTTTTATTGCACCACATGCAAGTCTGCCTAGTTTATTGTCTCAGCACTTGCTCCTCCCACAAGGTCAAATCCTGACACGCCTTAGTGGGAAGGAGTCTGTTTCAGTGATTGCCCTTTAGTTCCTGTTTCGTATTTGGAGAATCTGTAGTTCTCCAAATGAATTTGTGTGTTGGGACACAGACTGTTTTAATGCAGGTAGAAATGAGAAGCAGTGGGGGGTAAGTTTGACACTGATACTGAAGGCCTTTTTTTTTTTTTTCTAAATGTGTATTTTTGAGAAAGAGGGAATGCGAGTAAGAGTGGGAGAGGGGCAGAGAAAGGGACAGAGAGATTCCCAGGCAGGCTCTGTGCTGATAGCGGATCCCATGACCCTGGGATCATGACCTGAGCAAAAACCAAGAGTCGGACCCTCAGCCAACTGAGCCACCCAGGGGCCCCAACACTGATGCCTTTTCGATCACTGGGTATTTTGAAGGTCCAGAGGGAGCCAACCTGTTCATCTACCACCTGCCCCAGGAGTTTGGAGATCAGGACCTGCTGCAGATGTTTATGCCCTTTGGGAATGTCGTGTCTGCCAAGGTTTTCATAGACAAGCAGACAAACCTGAGCAAGTGTTTTGGTATGTTGGCTTCTCTTTTGGTGTCGGGAGGGTTAAGTGCCTTTACCACTGAGAACAAAAAGGGTCTGAAAGCAGGAAGAGCAGGGTTTGAATTGGGTTACCATTTAACTCAACCTTGGGCAGATCAATTTTTTTATTGCTGTTTATGGATGATGGATTTCTACCCATACTGTTGCTCCGGAAGTAAAAATAATGTATGGAAATAGTTGGTCAGAAAACTTAAAAGTGCCATGTAGAAGTCAAGTGGTACTGTCGGGAATCTAATTTGTTTCATGTGATACAATTTCCAGAATTCTTGTCCCTGCTGAGAAATTTGGGATTTGAGACTATGCTCATAAGATATCTCTTGGCTCATCATGTCCCTCACCCAGGTTTCTGCTTGGATACACAGGTTTTGTAAGTTACGACAATCCTGTTTCGGCTCAAGCTGCCATCCAGTCCATGAACGGCTTTCAGATTGGAATGAAGCGGCTTAAAGTGCAGCTCAAACGTTCGAAGAATGACAGCAAGCCCTACTGAGCGTGCTCCCCTCTGAGACTGGAGTGAGAGGGTCTTCTGGTAAGTGGGGGAGGAGCACCCTTAATGATTCGAAGCCCTAAGGCTGTGTGTTGACAGCCCTGGACCCTGATCCCTGCCACTCTCGCAGGCACAGCTTGCCCCGAAGACTCGGCTACTGCCTTCTGTGGGAGTTTCGCTTCGTACAGAGGACGAGTTTGTGCTTTGGTTTCCAGTGTTTTACTTTGGAGTTTAGGTGCCATATCCTGAGTTTTTTTCTTTATTTAAAGTTTGCTGTGTTTGTAACCAGTGTGTGTTGAGAAGGACCAACATCAAACCGCCCTGGGGGGAGGAGGGGGAATGGAGAAGCATTAAAAAAGATCAGACCTTTCCCCACACTACCCCAAGAGAGGACTGAGTGAAACCAAAAATTGACCCCAGAATCTCCCTGAGTGCGAGAGTGGGTGAAATGAGAACTGGTGCCCAAGAGCCTTGGGGGCGGGCGGGGGGAGGGCAGAGGCGAGGCTGGCTTTGGAGGTGAGGACAGTGACCCACACCCAATGGCCCCAGGAGCCACAGGCTGAAGTGCCTCCATAGCTATCTTCTGGGGAGTTACTGAGTTCTTGCCACCTGTTTTTCAGATTCTTGTGCAGAATTTCTGCTGCTCTTTCCCAAGAAGGGGAAGACAGTTCTGTGGAAATAAAGCATTTGTTAAATTAGCTTGACATAGGCAACATGCAGGGAGACATCACCCATTACCGGCTTTTCCAGCCACCCATTGGTGTTGGATTGGCTCCGGCTGGCTGATGGCTGTTAAGGAGAAGCAGCCGGTCAAAAAGATCGTTTTTAGTTTATTTCAACACCACATTGTTAGACCACGGCCCATTTCTAATAGGTCCCTTTAAACAAGGTCTCTAGGCAAGACACTGTCTGGTTTCCTTCCTTGTAGTTGATTTGACCACAGCAGAGTGTCACTTCCATCCCAAGCCACAGTTTTCTCATGAGGGTAGATCTAAGAAGAGCTTACAGTATCTAGCTTGAAGGGCGCACCTCTCCTGAGCAGAGTGATCAAAAGCCATTGAATTGGGGCGGGGGGTGGGGGGGAGCCTTCTTCTTGGTGTACCTGAATCAGAAGGCACCTTTAAGCCAGAGTGCTGCATTTGTCAGCGGCCAGCACTTATCCGTAAAAGGATGAGAAATCTTTGCTTGCCTCTGTGGTTGAGGGATCCCAGATGTGGTATTCCTGCCCTCCACCGCCCCCCCAAGACAGGCCCCTCTTCTAACCACTCCAGCCCCTTCTGCTCTTGGGGACAGAGGAGACAACAGGACGTTTACAGCCTCCATATGGATTTAGTGTTCATTTACCTCAGTATTACCATGTTCATTTTTGTCCTCATGCTTACAGTTAGCTCCCTGCTGCCTCCCACAGGCATCACTGCGGCTCTTGCCTGTGACCCACACAGCCTTTGGGCCCTTCCTCTGCTCCAAGAAATGCTGTGGGGCTGGAGAGCCAGAAAGGACGCGCTGTTGGGAATGTGCACCTGGGCAGAGGTAGCCCTGTTGGGATATGACTCTTAGCCAAGGCCAGGGACAGGGTCCCTGGGATCTTAAGCCTCACAAACATCGGTCCTGACCCCTAACAGCAGAGATGAGATTAAAGGGGTTGCCTTGGTATTAAGTCAGATGGGGACTCTCTCCTTGTCATGCTGTCCCTTTGGGTCACAGACAGGGATTGACCGTCTTGCTGTTGTACAGATAGTTTGGTGGTGTTGGATTATCCCATTGAAGCAGGGACAGCTGTTCCCTTCTCATAGTGATAACTTGGGTCTGTTGTCCTCTAAGAAACGTGAAACATACTTCTTAAGCTGAACCACGTAAACTTGAATTCCGTGCACTGGGAGAAATGTGTCCTGTGTTTCAAGGATAAAACTGTTCCAAAGGCTTCCAGGGTCATGATGGGATTTTTTAAATAAATGCAAAAAATAAAAATAAAAAAGAAAAAAGAAAAAAAGAAAAAAATGCTAGGTTGGGGAGGCGCTGTTCTGAATCCCAACCGGCTGGAACCAAGAATGTCGTTTCTATTTTTATAGAAGTTTTATACAGCTCCGGGGTGGAGAATATTTATTACCTAAATTATATCTCTGGAAAAGGCCAGGATTTTGTAGAATCCAGAATGTGATTGTTGTACACACAGGGTGCTGTGTATGATTGAAACTACTGACTCTCTGTGGCCCGTTTGCAGCCCAGCTAATAATCTGCCAGAGGGGAAGGAGTTAATGCTGTGAATTGGCGGAGGAGAGAGCTGTGCTCCCCAGGGTGCTGCCGGTGCTGTGATAGCTGACCTTCTGTTCTGTCTTCCTCCTTGGCCATTATGGGGTTTTCCAAAGCCCAGAACTCCACTCCCTCCCTACTTTCTCTCCCATCCCCCTCCTGCCCCATTTCACAATTATTTGTCCATGGATTTGTCCTGGGCTCCGGGACCTTCTGAAATGCCTTTTTGAATAATATGAAAGGCAAAGGTGCAGTCAGCCCACCTTTGATAGCAGACCCCAGAGGTTTCATACCTGCTTGTGAGTTCTCTTTTCTAAAAGGAGCATGTGCCACAGCAGGGCCCTGGGCTGCCACAGCGGCCAGCTGGTGAGACCAGGCACTTCTCTCTGTTCTCCTCTCTCCTGCCCAGCGAGTGAGCACAGTAGCACTGCCCTTGAGCACAGTTCTCTCCCCAGGCCAAAGATGGTTTGTGAAGAAGCTGCTCCCCTATAAGTCTCACGGTGTGGAAGGGTTCAGCTCGGAGAGTGGAGACTAGCAGTCGAGTCTTAAGCAATCCTTTTCTGTTGTGTGGGGGTTTCACTTACATAAATGTGTTTTCTGCTATAGTTTTGTTTCTTACTTGGGTTTTATCATGAAATTGATTTGCCTTGAATGCAGCCAGACACTGTCTCCTGGGTCCCACATGAGTGGCCAGGGCCTGTGTGGAAACTAAAAGCTTGGATTTCTGGAAACAAAAGGCCATCCCTGTAGAATTGAGGACAAATCCTGGCCCTCTCCCCTAGAGAGTTCCCCCACCCCAGCCATGGTCTTCTATTTTCTCCTGGGTTTGAGGAGTGGGGAGGCTGCACCTCTGCTCCACCAGAGAGACCTTACCTTCTTCCTGGGACGAGTTGGGGCGCCTCGGGAAATCCAAGCCTTAGGTTCCCTTCTGTCTCTGGCAGTTGGATGTTTTCTTGGTGTCCTCCATGTCCTTTTTGACTTTTCCCTGTGTCCATTGTTAGCATGTGCAAAAGTTCCCTGTCATTACCCAGCCCCCGCCCCGCCCGCCTCATTTCAGGGCTGTACACAGTGAGTGTTCCTTTTCTCTCTCTCTCTGTTTGGATGTATTGCTCTGTGTAACTCAGTGGGTCTCCCTCTTTCTGGTTTGTTTTTTTTTCTAGATTCCTGCCGTTTGTTCATCGTTGTGCCTAAAGCATGTCGATGTGGCGTCAAGTACATCGTCCAAATCCCTGTCTCTTCAGCTTCTCTGATGCTTGAACTCTCACCTTTGACCTTGTGTTGACCTTTGATGCTGACGTGTATTTTTATTATGTTTGTTTCTTTCTTTGTTATTTCTTTTTTTCTTTTCCTTTTTTTTTCTTTTGTGCTGCCAAATTGGTTTTGCTAGAACGACTGCTGAAGGGGAAATATTTAAACTTGCATTTGAATATAAAAAAATCTATTTTTCTAGAACTTCATAAGATAACCACTTGATTTTGTGATTCCAATTCTTTGTAACTGTCTTCAGAGCAGCCCTACTAGCACATACCGCGTGGTGTTTGTATTTCTGTGAACACACAGCCAGTCCGTTTCTAGGCTTTGTTTCTCTGTGTGCTTAGTTTTAAAGACAACTTTGAAGTAAACAATGAAATAAAAGATGTCACTAAAACCTTTGAGGCTCCTGAGCACATTTTGCTGATATAGTTTGTGGGGCTTGAGGAGACCGCATGTGTTCTTTTTGTTTTTCTGAGTTCTCAACTGCAGAAAACACCTGAACCCCTTTCCTTTTTGACCGCAGGCTGCAATTTGGGCCCCAGCCAGCCCTTTTTCTTTTTCTTTCGTGGTTCTTCCCTGTAGTGACCCTGCAGGGAGCCTTCAAATCCCTCTGGCCCCTTCCCCTCAGCCCCGCTGTGCCCGCCTCCATGCTTGTTCCTACAGTCTCCACAGCAAAATGTGATGCTTTGATTTTTTTTTTGTTTTTGTATTGTTTTTGTGTTTTTTTGTTTTGAATTTTTTCCTTTCCTACTAAGATTATGCCCAGAAAAAACAAGTTTTGCATGTTTCCTGCTGTTTCTTCACACCTTCGTATATATCACCTTCACCTCTCTGTTTTCTATAGTTTGTGCAAAAACTGACCGATTTAAAAGGGTTTCAAAGAAGCTGTTTTAAATTGTTGTGGGGTTGATTATTTTTTTCAAGATTGTATTGTTTTATTTTGAAGTGGCAACTTTCTCCTCTATTGCCCTTAGAGCGTTTGCCTGTGCACTTAGACTGTCACCTCATGTGGCCTCCAGGCCTCAGCATTGGGGGGGTTGGGGGGGGACGGCGGAAGCTGGCTGCTCTGCTCAGAGATGGGTGGGAAGGGGGCCTGGACAGGCACGAGGAGCAGAGATAGAACCCAGAAGGTGGC